CGTCTGGGTGGGAGCGGTGCTTCGGCCCCAGGCCCGGCTCTCACGCCGGTGGCGGCGCCCGGGGTCCGCGTGAGGACGCCCTCTGAGCGGGAAGCCGACACGCCCGCCCTCGGTGTGGGGAAGCGGCTGCCTCGCCCGGACCGCCTGAAGCGCAGCCGATGAGCCCGCTTACCCCCACAAAAGGGGACAAGGACGTGGGCCCGAAGGCCTGGCCGGCCGAGCTCCAGGGGCCCCGCGGCCCAACGCCGGGGTCGGAATCCCAAGGTCGCTTCCTTCCTGGGCCGGCTCACGGGACCCTGAGGAGGGAGGTGCTTTTCCCGGTGCAGCGGGCTCAGAAAGTCTCTGCGGGCAGCGTATTTATGTATTGTTATTTTACAGAAGAAAAACATCCGTGGGGGGGGGTCAAAGAAATTAAGATATCAGCCATGACTGTGCAACTGAAGCCCTGCCCCCTTTTGACATACGTCGGCTGTGCCATCTTGAGTTTTTTGACCCCCTCAAGGGCTCCCCTGCCTGAAGATAACATGGGGCGTGTGTGGCAAAATGGATGGATAACAAAATGGATGGGTAAATATTGCATTTGGAGTGCCAAGGCGAGTGGCCTGAAGGAGGTCTTGGCACTAAACATTTTGGGTTGCTGTCGCTGGGTTCACGCATCCCCAGAGGCTGCATTGCCCAGAATGCGGAGCTTGGCTAAATTCTGGCCTGGGCTTTCGGGTTCACTGTGCTGTCCAAAGTGAGAAAACGGGTAAATTCAGTTCCCAGGTGAAGTGTCTGACCCAGGAGACACAGCAGGCACCCCTCTGGCCAGCTCCCTGTCTCACACGCCTGCTCTTGTCCTGTTGCAGGCCGTCCAGCCTCAGACATGGCTTTGCTGTCCGCCGTCCACCTGGGGCTTCCCCCTCCTGGCCGCCCGCATCGTCTGGCCCTTGTCTCCGGCCCCTACCGGTACTACCACTATGGCTGCGACGGTGTGGACGACCGTGGGTGGGGCTGCGGCTACCGTACCCTCCAGATGATGTGCTCCTGGCTGGTGGCAGCCGGTGGAGGAGAAGCTGCTCACTGCCCGGTCCCGTCCCTGAGGGAGATCCAGGATTCCCTGGTGAAGATGGGGGACAAGCCTCCTTCGTTCGCAGGCTCACAGGACTGGATCGGCACTGTGGAAGCAGCTCTCTGTATGGATTCCTTCTACGCTGTGCCGGGCAAACTGGTCCACATCCGCAACGGCCGAGATCTGGAACAGGAGCTGGAGACGTTGTATGCCCACTTTCAGGGAGGTGGGGGGCCCGTGATGATGGGAGGAGGCTGGGACCATGCCTCCAAGGGGTTGTTGGGGGTCTGTTCTGGCCCCGAGGGACACCACCTGCTTGTTCTGGATCCGCACCACTACGGCAGAGCAAGCTCGCTCAGCCAGCAGGAAGCTCAGGCGAAGGGGTGGGTTTCCTGGCGGGGGCTTGGCTCCTTTGAAGAGACCTCATTCTACAATCTCTGTTTGCCCCAGTTCAGGGCCAAAGGGCCCCCTTTGTGAAAGGGGCGTTTATGGGAAGAGGCGCTGCTCCTGGCTGAAAGAGGAACGCGTACGAGCCGTTTGCTTCCAGCAGCGTGAGCCCCTCAGAAGGGACCAACAGTGGACGTGCATCGCATGTTTGGCACGTGCTGTGTTGCGGGAGAGAGCATAGACATGGGAAGCAACTTTATGCGCTTCGGTCCAGTCCTGGTCGACAGCTGCTGCAGCAGGCCAGGATGGGGCTGAGGGGGTCCCTGCCCCAGGGAGCCCTCAGTGTTGGTTCTGGCAGGACCCTGGTGGCTTCCCTGCCTGCTCCCTGCAGCTTCAGGAAAGCTGGAGGGAGGCAGCAAAGCTCCAGAGGCACCTGGCTGGCTTCCGGTTGCCCAGGATGGAGGGGGCTGGTTGACTAGGAGAACTTGAACCCCATCTTCCTGGTCTTTAGCCAGCATTCCCCCTCTGCCCAACGCACTCAGCCAGCTCAGTTAAAGACCTGGGGGCTCCCTTTGCTCAGTAGGCTAAGCTGGGTTTACTTTAACCCGGCTGGGGTTTGAGGAGGGTTAGCGCTGCGTGGACCTGGCTGGCTTAGTTGCTTGGTGGTTCAGTCGATCCTGGCAAGGTGAGCTCCGCTTCCAGGGAGGCTTCCAGCGTGGAGGTAGCCTGCGAGTTCTCCCTGCTTGCCTCCCCCAGGGCCGCCCTGAGAAAACCGCTGGGACTGAAGTGGCTCCGGCAGGAGAGGAAGGGTGGGGAGGGTCTGCAGCAAAAGATAGCCAAGGGTGCTTTAGCAATGTAGGATTCCTGTCATTAGCAATACTTCCAAGAAGTGATTGTATCTGAGGAAGGAGCTCCCGCTCCTGTAACGAAGGCTGGAAAAGAACATGCTGTGGTTGATCTGGTGTCGTAATTGTGTGACCTGTTGTGACGTAGTTGTCATAGTATTCAACTTGGGCCACACCATACATCAAGGACAAAGGAGGACAGATGCTGCTAACGGCTGGGAAAATGCTATTTCACAACCTCTACAAGGGATGAGTTATTTTCTGTAGAAATAAGGCACGTCATCTGGCAAAGCGGTTGGGTTTGGGAGGAGGGGACTTCCGTCCGGTGTCCTGTGGGGTGGTGGGGAGACACGCAAGGGGGCCTGGAATTAATTGGGGAAGATAACAAGAAATGGGGGGGCAGGTGAGGATTGCGGTTCCTCCCTCTTCAGCCGGCCAGACCCACAGTGGAAATCCACGGGACAGCCTCTCTCCCTCTGAGTATTTCTGTCTCTGTCTCTAATGTGTGCATCTAATAAGCCATTAGGGAGTATGTCTCACACGATGTGGCCGTCTACCAAACTCTGCCAGCCAGTGTTTAAAGGGTAAATTCTCCTTGGAACTCAACTCCAGATGACTTTGTGGAACTCTGATTAGTTTTCCTGGTGAGTGATACATGAGTGATTATTTTCTGGGATTTTTTTTTCAACTTCCTGAGGGCGGAGCAAATGGCCACCGAGTGACAGCTGTTTTAGCGAGCTCCTAATCCTCCTATTTTAGTTACTTTTTACATATAGTTTTAAGACAGTTCATTTTATCTAGTATTAATTAGTGATCTTAGTAATTTTAATTTCTTTTATTAGGAGTAGTAATTTTAGGAATTCAGATTTAGGATTAGATAGGATTAGGATTTTAGATCTTGGACTCGGGACCCACTAGCTTCGGACACCTGCCGTTGAAGCGAGAGTACCATCTACAACCCTGAATACCACCCAAGGATGCAAGATCAGAAAGCAAAAACAAAAAACTTGAAAAGAAAGTTCAAAAGGAGACATAAACTGGACACACAGTCAAGAAGAAATCCTAAACAAGATAAGATTGCAAGGACTTTTAGGCAACCAAAGATAAAGGATTTATTCCAGCCAATGGATACTGTAAGTCTCCTTCCCTTTTTTCTTCTCCCCTTGTAACCTCCGCTAATAATTCTTATTCCTCAATAGACTGGGATATGGACGATTGCCTTTCCACTGAAAATGAGGATTTAACAGGAGATGGGGGGAGGATATGGATAACATCAAGAGCCACATTAAGGAGACCTGGATTTGGTTGCCATGAACTGTCTTTGAACAGCACAAACAGTCCTTGCTATATTTGATTAGCTCTTGGAAGCTAATAAAAAGATGAATTAAAGACTCTAATGGGAAATTATATCTCCAAATTAGATAAGAAAGTAAACAGTAACGCCCATGCTCCAAATCTTACCCCTAATTCACGGACAGCACAGGTGGCAAGGGGGCTCTTGGACAGAGAAGATATGGAGGAGAGGCTGGTTTTGCAGAGACATAGGATTCTACTCCAAGTTGCGGATACAACACACACACACACACAATAGGGGTGGGTGTCATAACAGACGAGTAATACTGAATTCTCTCTCTCAACTCTTACAGTGTAAGGTATATTCTAACAAACAACAGGGATCTCTTGGCTCCCTAGTAGGCACGGATGTAA